AAAATTCCCAGGGTGTTCCCTCTGCCTAGAAGGCTTTCTGCTCATAGCTTCTGCCCTGGTTATTTACTGTTAACTGAGAATTTCAAGCCTGAGTGACTTAGAACTATGGGTATTTTATTATCTGAACTCTCATGATTCTGAGCATCCACTACGCTTAGTTGGGGAGTTTTTTGCTCAGCATCTCTAGGACAGCCATTTACTGCATAGTGTCATTTCAGTCTGGGACAGGCCACATGTTTGGTGGTGGCTCCATGAGATTCTATTGTCTCATGACATCATAGCTGTATTAGTTGTTATAAATATGCTCTGTAATGTTCATTTGGTGATGACATATACTAAGAATGAGTTCTCAGAACACATTCCATTCTTACTAGATGTAAGACTTTGACTATGACTAGATAAGCCCTCTAGAGATGGCTCCCTCGTGTGTCCAGAGTCCAAGCTAGAAAGAACCTGACAGGAAGAGGAATCACTGGCGCTCCCCAGGGCTCTCTCTGTTCCCACTTTATTCTCCTGTCTGGTGGTCCAGGTGGGCAGGGTAGCCAGACTCTCATGTGGTGGTTCCAATGCTTATACCTGCAGCCTGAGAGAGTCAAGAAGAATCCATGTCACCTTTTGAGGACTAGCCTTGGCCATCACAGAGCATTCCTCTGGCACATTCAAACCATCACCTTACTCATAAAGGCCTCTTCACATTCAAGGGCAAGGAATACAGCCTCCAGCCTGTCACCTGTCAGTGACTGAAAATTCCTGCAAGAACACTGGGGGAATATCTGCCCTCTTTCCCCAAACTCAGTGCAAGAAGACCTCTCCAGCTCTTTAAGCTTGGCATAATTCACTTTCTGTAACCCTCCATTACTGTAGACCCCTGTCATACCTAGCATTATGGACATGTTAATCTGGCCTTACCTGTCCACATCTGTTTAAACTATAAGCCTCTAAAAGCTGTGACTCCTGTCCTGTTTTGTTTTGGTGGGGTACAAAGTAGCAAGGAGACAGAGTTTAGTCATTGAAATTTAATTTCAAATCATGGGGAGTAGAGGGAGTGCAGGACCTTGGATAAAAATAATCTATATTTGAACACAATGAAGAGATATTCAGGGAGAACTTTCTCAAAGCCAAATCATCATCATCTTGGCAGAAAAACCGTGGACAATTTTACCACCTGTGAACATTGTCATTGGATGAGGTTAACCATGTTGTCCATGATTAGTAACATCTGCAAACTCTCCACAATTGATGCTTCAAAGGAAACTGGCTGAGCAAGTTTCTTATTCACCACACTTGGTTTCTGAAGAGTTAAACCTCAGAAGAAATTCTAACTGCAAAATAGAACAAAAGAGAACTGGGCATGACAGCTAACACCTGTAATTCCAGCACCCCATAGGCATAGGCAAGAGGATTCTGAATTCAAGGCAAACCTGGACTATATAGTGAGCTTGAGCCCACCTGGGCTACTTTTAAAAAGAGGGGGAAAAAAAGGCTGCAAGTATTTCTCCCCTCTACAAAATGTATGATTTGATAAAGAATGTTGTAATTAAATCCACCAATAATCAAACAGTCTTAAATTAAACAAGATGCCATTTTGCATCTCTCAAATTGGGAAATCTTTAAAATATATTTGTAAAATGGTCCAAAGGTGCCTGGGGTGGTAGCTCAGTGGGTCAGGTGTTTGCAGTGCAAGCATGAGGTTGAGCATGGGCCCCAGCACCCACATAAAACTGGACATGGTGACCCAGCTCTGTAACAGGAAGATCCCAGGGCCTTGTTAACCAGTCAGCCTAACCAGTTAGTGAGATCAGGTACAGTGAGAGACCCTGCATGGAAAGCCGGAAGACAACCATAACAACAACAACAACAAAAACAAAAACTCGAAGAGAGATGGAGGAAGTCACCTGATGCCAAACTCTGGCCTTCACACATATATAGGCAAGCTCCTACACCTACACGCATCACGTGCACTCAGGCACACACCCACATCCTTGCATGCACGCATGCACACACGCACAGATATATTCACACACGCATATACTCGGGAGCACACACACACATGCACACAATGACCCATTGCTGTAAATACTTACTCATACGTTTCTGATGTGAGGGAGGGTTGGACAAACCTCAAAGACAAAGGAGGGCTTTGAAGAACTCACTTCTTTCCAGTCAGCAATCTCACCCTAGAGATTAATTCTAAGGATGTAATCCTGGATAGGCAAATATTATCCATACTGAGGAGGCTCACTGAAGTCGATGTTATGATAGCAAAATACTGGACAAATTAAGTGTTCAAATGGAAGCTGGTTAAATAGATTACAGTTAAATCATTTGCTAAAGCATTATGCACTCATTAAAAAATAATTTTAGAAAACTATTTGTCAGCACAAGAGCGCACTCACAACACAGTGTTCTCTGTAAATAAAACAGAATAGAAACCGCATAAATTATAGGGAATCGTATGATCTCTACTTCATTCCAAAATTAAATATGTATGAGGACTAAAAGTAAATCCCATGAAATGTTAACAGTAGTTATGTCTAAGTGATGGAATTACAGGCAGTTTAAATTCTTTTTTCTCGATGCCTTTCTGTCATTTTCTTTTACAATAAGCATATGATGCTTTTGTCATTAGGTAAAAGAAGATGTTTTAAGGTGGAAAAACTCAATAATTTTTCCTGTGACTGGCTTAGATGACTAGCAAAATGGAGAAACATTATTATTATTTTTTTTTGGTCTGGAAAAGAAATTAAATAATTTATGATAAAGTCTTGGGATAGAATAGCTCACACTTTTAGACACCCGAACATGCAGGAAGGCAGACTTGGATACAAACAGAAGTGCTATCTCTGAGGTGTGAAATTTCACACATGCTGCAGCCTGCATGTCCTGGGGAGCATTTCCTTTAATGGTACATGGGAACTTGCTGTCCTTCAGTGTTAACAGAGACAGACGATAATGGTCCTCCTCCGAAGTGCTGAGAGATGTCCTTCTGGGTCAGCCTCAGACTTTCCGGGTAATGAGGACCGAGTCTATTAACCCCTTTGAGTTCCTGAAGCCCTCTCTCTGATATGGAAGTCCATGGCCATCAATAGGACTCTTGAGGGCTAAGAGGAAGAAAGTAAAAACCATAGATAAAGTGGTTTTATACAGAATCCCAGGATGAAGGGATAGGGATAACACACCACTGTTTCTGAGTGAACAGTAGGAACCTGCAGGTAAGGGTCTTCCCAGGACCTCTTTTGTTAGTGACACTACTATGAGTACCCAGCACATGCTGATGAAGCTGCCCGGATCCCTCCTCTGCTCCTCTGCTAGGACAAGCACTTTCACAGGAAACAGTCACTATCCCCTCACGAAGCTGTCTCTTCTAGGTGGTATATTCTGCAGTGGTGACAGGTTCCTAAAGCCCAACTTCTGTGTGGACACTAAAAGTTAGTCCTGAGAACATAGACGGTCAATATTCAGGTCTTTCCCCACTTGTCAATGATCCAGAATATTAAATTGTATTTGTGGAATGTCAGGGTGCTGCTGTGAGGGCCAGCTTTCAGCAGCTCAGAAATTGAGGGGGAGCCATGGAGTGGGTGAACTAATCACTCAATTTGACTTTTCTATCTGAGGGAGTAAAACCTAATTCTCTGGGATCAGTGAGAGGTGCAAAACTACTCTCTGGGGCTGGCGAAAAAGGGAAAAACACATACATACCTTTAGTGGCTTCCTATTATCTCTCTCTCGTCTCTTTATTTCCTTTCTTACCTCTCTACAGATGTATCCCTTCGGTCTGTCATTAATTTCCCCTTACAGCTTATATATCCCAGCGAAATCTTTCAAGCAATATAAAGATACAATATGTATAATTACAATGAATACAAGTAAAAACATCATGTTTATCATTTCCCTTAAATGATTAAACATTTTATGTATTACAGGTGGACATCAAATTATTTCCAAGAACCTACATACATTCATGTCTAAGCAACTTGTTATAGATTAACAGAGTGTAAGCAAGCAAGGTGTTTTTCTCAGCCAGTTCTTTTACTGGAAGGCTGTATTTTCTGGTTACAAAGAAAGGATCAATCACTTTATTATTTATCTCAAAAGATAATTTTATAAAAAAAAAATCTTAAAATAATCACAAGTCTGTTATTTTTTCTTGACCTCATTCAACTATGTGCCTCTCTAAACTTTAAGTTGTTCCTCAAGATTTTCTTCCTCAAAGTCATTAACAAAAACACCCTAACCTAACCTTACTAACAATTCTACATGTCTGAATTCTTTCTAAGGGTGGAGGTTGAATCATTAATCTGCTCCAGCAGCAATGCTTGGAAAAAGTCTATCACTATTAGTGTAAGTACCAGTAACAGTGTCCAACGAGGGGCCAGAAACCCCTGAGAGTTTTCATACAACCCATAGATTATGAGGGATGTGGTGACCACAAAGGGAACAATCAGAGCTATGCTCAGTAACAGCATGAGGTCCTCAGGATGTAGTGTGAGGGCTTTGCCTCTCCAAGGCTTACTCCCATGGCTTTGCCAACTGCCCAGCCATGTTCCATGAGTTCCAATGCTGTTGTTAGTTCCCTTGCATGGCTTCCGACGTCAGGGAATCCACGTCCTAAATGTAGCACAGACAGGGCACACAGTAGGTAATATCTGAGTGGTGGTAGCCAAGTATAATACAGGGCCCAGTTGTAGTCTTTAGGAGCATATTGTACAATGTGTAGCTGAAAGCGGAAAACATTTCAATGTAGGAAATGATTTTATTTAGTACTAGCAATTCAAATAGCAGAAGACCATCTGGAGCATTAAATAATTGAATAATGAATGTGTTTGTCGAGAAGGAAGCAGGCTGAAGTGAAGGAAGATGGGAAAGCAGACTGTAGCAGAGATTAAAGAGGAATAGCGGCAGTTTCAAGGAGTTTTTAAACAGGAGTGACATGGGACTTTTATTAATTTACTTTTCGTATCCTATATATCAATGTAACAGCACTTTCTTTCCGTTGACAGCTATGATGATGGGGGTAATTGTACAATGATTACACAAGAAAAGAGGAAAAGTGAGAGGAGAGCAGCATGCCAATCCATATTAAGATAGCCTGGAGTCACACGCCCGGGAACCAGTCTAGCCGAGACCAGCACACAATCTAAATCAGGACCTGCTTTGGCCACTCACCAGCTCCAGCTTGAGATCAGAGACACCTATCCTTGGAATCCAACTGTTAAAACTCGAGAATACCCATCCCATGGGACAATTGGAAAAAGATTAAATTAAGATCATGAATTTAAGCGTGCGTGTGCGTGCGTGCATGTGTGTGTGTGTGTGTGTGTGTGTGTGTGTGTGTGTGTAGAAGCCACACACTACATTGAGTATCTTCCTCGATTGCTCTCCATTTTAATTTTTTGTTTTGTTTGTTTTTCAAGACAGAGTCTCCCTATGTAGGCCTGGCTGTCCTGGAGCTCACAAAGATCCACTTGCCTCTGCCTCCCAAGTTCTGCTATTGAAGGTATGGGCCATTTTAATTTTTGAGTCAGGGTCTCTCACTGAATCCATAGCTTATTGGTGAGGCCTTGCTGGCCAATGAGCTCTGGGGACCCACCTGTCCCCATCCTCCTTCCATACCCAGTGCTGGAGTTACAAATGCCTATCTCCAAGGTAAACTTTTATGTTGGTGCTGGGGATCCAAACTCAGGTGTCCATGCTTGTTTGACAGGCCCTTTTCTTCCCGAGTCATCTGACCGTGCCATGTCTGGGTACATCCTCTCCATCCTTGGGAGACTGGTTCTATTTCCTCATGGATACCCAACTCCCTTATATAAAATGTAATGTTTAAATATAATCTATCTACTTACTCCCATAGGTATGAAATTATTGATCACATAATACCTAATACAATGTAAAAGCTATATAATTCATTGTTCTGATATAATATTTAGGGAGTAGTGATAAGAAAGAAGTCTGCACATGCTCAGTGTAGTCACAGTTTTAAAACTATAATGTCAGTTGTCATTGGTTAGTACTGTGGATGAGAAAAATGTAAACATGAAAGGGCCAACCTTGAATGCTAAGTAAGAGTGATCATCACTAAGGAGGAGGGGCCGGAAAGATTTTAGGAGCCAGGGGTAGTGGATCTCTGTGGCAAAACATTATTTGCTGAACCTGACAGGTCCATTACACACATGATCTCCCAGCAGCTATGACTACACAAATAATACCTGTATGAAATCAAGCCAGCCCAGACCCCAGAATGAAAGGGGAGTGACTCATGAAGTCCCACCCCTAGCTGAAGAGCTATTGGGAATTAATGGCTGCTGTGAGTGTGTGGGGGTGGGGGCTAGTTTTCTTCAGGGATGTGGGCACTGAGAGGCTACCCTGCTCCTGTAGATGCTCTCCTACCCATAGAGGCAATACTAAATAGACTCAGTAGGCTGAAAAAAATAAATAAAAAGAGGGAGAGAGCACATGAAGTTGAGAGGAAGAATATGGTGGCAGAGATAGAGAAGGAATGGAGGGAAGAGACGGAGGGGTGAGTCTCATCAAAACATTATGTACAGGTATGCAATTTTCAATAAAGAGTTGTTACTATTAAAATGGACTTTCCCCAATCTGTTCCTCCAAGCTTCTAAACCCCCTCAAACATCAGGAGGGTATGACTCACTTGTCCACTTTTTCTCTACCATGTGCCCAGCCTGTAGCAGACCTGACATGAGGAAAGGGTTCAACAAACATGGATGGGGAAAATCTACACATTGCCACTGTTTCCTGTGGTCAGTGACTTCTTGGTTTTAGTTTTATGTCATTCATTTCCTGTTTGTTGGTGTTCAAGCACTTTATAATAAATTACAGAATCACAATCCTTTATATATGTGTTTCAGTACATATCTAAAAATAAATCCCTCTTGCTTTCATAACTACAATATAATTAGCATACCAAACAAAATTAATAATTCCCCAATATCATATATAGCTACTTGTTCAGAGTTCTTCAATTATCCCCCAACATCCTATTACAGATTGTCTCCTCACAGCAGGATCAGAATTGCAGTGGAGGATGGGCTATTAAGCCCCATGTAGAAATAGCACCTTGCTGTTTATTAAATAGCAACTTATAAGCACCGGCTTATTAAAGATGCTGAAGAATAGATTCACCTGATTGGCTAGCTGAGGTGACACCTAGCATTCTTCTGTCTCCCCTGTCTTTCCCATGAGAGGGAAGCTAGTTATAAATTTGTGGTGTTATTCAAGTCAAATCTTTTCCCATAGAAGGCATGGTAGATGACGCTATACCCGGAACACTGAATCACTCTGAGAATTTCATGTCAGGTTGGTCTATCTCAGGGATACTAAGATTGATCGCCAGCTTAAAGTGGTGGTGGCTTGATCCTCTCTCATTGCAAAGTGAGTCCTCAACCCTTTTATAACTAGCAAATAAATTGTGAGGTGAAAATTGGTACCCGTAAATTCATAGCTTACCATCAACATTTTAGCACCTACTGATGATCTTCACCTGAATCTGTTATCCCACAGGGGTTGCAAAGTGCTAATTTTCCAATCCCATCCTCCCTTCTTTCTTTATTGGCTTGTATGGTTCTGGAACAAAGGGCTTTCTCTCATCAACTGGGATATATAGCTCCCAGTGAAAGACAGGATATGCATGCAGCATTCTTCCCTCTAATAAGCCATGTTCAAAATAAGTTATTGGTAAACAGCAGCAGATTTTAATCACTAGAATTAAAGCAAAGTTTATGCCAAGGGTGTTCCTCTATACCCTGGCCCCAATAATTGTTTTAGGATAAGCCTGGGAAGGGGTGGGTGCACGAGACTGTGACCACTGTCCAGAATGCTTAGTGCAAATCTCACATCCAAATCCTCAGATTTTTAAGGATAAGGCTGGCTGATCCTAAGTCTTAAAGTTGTTATTGAATCTCAGCCTATCCTGGCTATATGGTTTATGAGCCTGATGCTAATCTTCCCCTTGTGGTTACAAAAGTCTTTTTGAAAATACATCTGTGTGTGTGCATGCTTGTGTGTGTGTGTGTGTGTGTGTATGCATCAGGGAGTGCCTATGTCTATGTGTAGTTTCTCACACACGTGTGTGAGATCAACCTCAGGTATCATTCCTCAGGCACCTTTCATTTGAGACAGGGTCTTTCATTGACCTGGAACTTCACCACAGGCTGGCTAGCCAGTCAGCAAGCTCTAGGGAATCTCCCTGTCTCCACCTCCCTCCTTGCCATCACTGGGATTACAAGCGCATGCCACCTTCACATTGGTTCCGAGGACCCGAACTCAGGTCCTCACACTGGTAAGGCAGGCACTTGACTGGCTGAGCCATCACCACGGCCCCACAGGTCTCTTATCACACACTTACCCCCATGCTTCCTTCCTGGGGAGAATAGTCATTCCAAGGGGTCGCGGAGTGAGTCTTGCCACTCACTTTTTTCTTTGGATTAAATTTTTATTTTGAGCATTTTAGTGAAAACTCTTCATTCCAAAACCTCAAGTCAGTTTAAATAACTCCTGCCTTCCCGCTGACTACACCGCTCACAAACGGCTGGGTCAGCCGCTAGCATAAAACCTCGATCCTCTTTCCAGTTAAACAGCACAGACTGCCCTGAGTTCTTTAATATGGCCTCATAAATCCAGCCCAGTTCTTTGCTTCTTCGTTCCCAGTCTCAGCTGCTCTCCCCCACTCGCTGAGCCCAGCATGGCTGCAGGGTGCTCCCTTCCTGAAATCAGAGGCAGACTGTCCTACCCTCTCTCTGACCCCTTTGCCGCCAGGCTGCAACATAAGCTCCCATCTAATCGCTGCTCTGCCTCTCTCAGCAGAACTTGACCTCTTTCTGGGTCCCTCTCTTAAAGCAACTGTCTGTGTTTTTCATTATGTTTGCCAAGACACATTAGTTTGAACTTTTCCCGGACCTAACTGGGTTGGCTTCTTTTTCTTTAAACCTCTGAGGCAGCAGGTTCAAGAATGCAGCCTTTGGTGGGAGGAGGGATTTGGCCTAGAATCCTTAGGAGCTTTCAGCCAGGACAGTTGTGTTAATCATATAGTCCTCCTAGGACTTGCGTGTGGACTGTCTCTTTAAGAAGGGGCAGACTCTGGGTCCAACTTCAACTTCAGACCTCAGTTAGAAGTTGAAGCCGCAAAGAGAACACACACAGCCTGCCCAGAAAGCTGCCCGGCCTTGCCATGGACTGTCCCTACTAGTCTGCCACCCTCAAATCCTCAAACCCATCCCACGCAAACACAAATGTGTCCTCTCTAAACATCGAAGCAAGCCTTCGAGCAAGCCTCCGCCCTACAGAGGAGTTGAAAGCCAAGTTCCCGGGCACCATCCGCTTCTGTAGTTAGGCCAGTCACCTCGCAAGAAGCGGCACCTCCCGCCTACACCCGACCCGTGTTCCTGAGAATTCCTTATGATTACTGTGAGGATGCCATCAGCAGATGAATAATTCCCTTGGAAATAAAAGTGTTCATGAGCCCGGGGAGAAGAGAGGAGAAAACACAGGGATAAGAATGCTAATCAGAACGAAGGGAGTTTTCCAGCTTTTTAGCTTTGCTAGGGTAAAAAAGAATAAAATAAAAAGTCAACTATAAAAAGCGCTGGAAGGGTTTCATGCAGCCTGGGGCATTTGCCAAGGGACAGATTTCCTCCATCAACTCAGCTCCTCCCAGGCCCTTTCCTTGTGTCGTTTCCTTTGCTTTCTTCTTTCCTTTATCTTTTAAGCAGCCCTACTCGGGCCGGGCAGCAATCTTTGGGGCCAGTGAAGCTTGTGTTGGGCAAGTCTTGGAAATAGGTCCAGCCAGCTCCCTGCCGAGGGGGACATCCCATCGTTCTGGGATGGCAGCAGGGAGACCCCAACTCCTCAACCTGGTGGGGTCCCTCCAAGGTCACAGGCAGTACTCTCTCTGCTTTCTCCACCTTCCCAGGCTTTTCCTCACCCACTGCCTCCTTCTGTTCCTTCGTCTCCTGCAAGCCAGTCCTTTTGGTGGCCAGATAACTAAAGGCATCTGCCAGGCCTGAGGTTGCCTTTTTTTAACCCCTCCCCACTCTTGTTTCTGACAGGGCTCATCCACATGGCTTAGCACATCCCAGGATGGCCTTCTCTTGACTTCACTGTCCAGATGCGTGACCGCTGTGCCTTTGTAAATAAAACGGTAAAGTCCCAAGAGGTTAGCTTGCTGTGGAGAGAGAAACACATAAATCAATATGCAAATAAGTCTACATCAGACTCTG